AAATGCCTCTTTATTGATAAATCATAAATATGCACAAAGACTTTTTCTTAGGTAAAAACTAGGGTAGTCTGCTAGATCGGAAGCCCCTAAGATATTCTAGGCAAAAATTAAGGCAGCCCGCTAGATTGAAAACACGTAAAGGGCGATCTAGGCAAAAGATAGGGCTAAAAACAAGAGATGGATAAAAGAGAAGCCCATCATCATGATCATAGATAGGAGCCCATCGGCGTATTCATGAGAAGCCAACGAGGAGAAGGCCGGTTACTTTCTAAATGCATCAAAAATAAATAAACATTAGATTGCATTTAGGACATCCACACACAAAATAGTTGCATAATACGACTTGTGTCAAAATTAAAAAAAAAAAATAATAATTTTCTTCAAACAAGAATATTAAACATGCATATAAGGAGGCTAGTCTCCATACTCGTGATTGAAAACAGGAGGCGCCGGAATCTAGTCTCCATATGAAAATCAAAATCGCAAAAGACAAAACCAAAAACCATTTCGACGAGAATAAGGAGCTTCAAAGAGACTAGCTCCAACCATCTACAACAATAAAAGAAGGTACATCAAAAACGGAAAAGAGCCAATGGAAAGACTTGATGATCCCCAAGCGAGACCCTTGCCTACTCCGGAGGCAAAGCAAAAATTACTTCATGACTCATCCTCATCATCATATGAGTCGTTGACCATAATCATTTGAAGCCTCAATCAACATCTTTCCATCCAAAAAGAAGGAAGTCATCAAAACGGAAAAGCTAACGAGAAAGGCTCAATTATCCCCAAGAGGATCCTTGTCTACTCTAGAGGCAAGACAAAAGATTACCTCACGACTCGAAGACATCACTGCGTGAGTCATCAAGCACACTCATTAGAGAGTCGCCGCCTCAAGGAGTCCATAAAAAAAAAAAAAAAAAAAAAAAAAAAGCAGAGTCAAAATCCCTACATCATCGGGGGCAACAAAAAGAAGGAAGAGAAAAGCCTTTCATCCTCTAACAAAGGTCACTGCAAGAAAAAGCCGAAAGAAAAATCCCCAAGAAGAGCACATCAAGAAAAATCTATAAAAGAAGAAAATGAGAAAAATTCCATCCACGGGAAGGCAAATCAACCCCCGGTGGATCACCAAAAGAAAATTTTCTCCCGAGTAAGCCTAACCGAGAGAAAAAAATTACAAATCCACAAGGAGTTAAGCACCCAATATGAATATCCCCGGGAAGGTACAAAACCTTCACTCCCAAGAATGCCTATGCTCACTCAGAAACAAGCAAAGAGCCGATATCCCCAAGAAGCGGAAATCAACCTATAAGAGGTAATACAAGCAAAGCTTTCAAGAAACATCTACCTACTCGGAGGTATTATCAAGAACGAGATATCCTCAAGTAGAACATCGGCCTATTCGAGGCGAACAACAAGTAAAAAGCCTTCACCACTATCGAAGCACCAGCCTAATCAAGAGGCACAATCAAAAATCAACAAATCCCGAGTGGATTCAGCCTAATCAAGAGGCACAACAAAATCCCCAGTGGATTCCAGCCTAATCAAGAGGCACAACAAAATCCCCAAGTGGATATTCAGCCTAATCAAGAGGCACAATCAATGAGAGAATTCAAAATCCCCAAAGGATTCCAGCCTAAAAAGAGGCAATCGACAGAATCCCGGCCAATCTGGGATGGTTAACAAGAAAAGCCAAAATACTGGCAATCCCTGGTAAAACCGGATGACTAAAACGAGAAAAGTCAAAAAGAAAAATCAATTACTCCCCAAAGGCACATGATCGGAGACAATAAGCGCCAACACATATCCAAAAACCGGGTGAGGGTTTGTACTCATCAAAAGATTGACCGCCAAAAGAGAATCCTAAGAGCCTTGCAAAGCGAGGCTCGTCGGAGAGTTTAGCAAACGCGAACTCAAACATAGTGGGGGAAAGTACCCACAAAAATCTAGCAAATACGAGACTCAAGCCGGGTGGGGGTTTGTACTCACAAGAGCCTTACAAAAGAAGGTTCGAATCGGATGAGGGTTCATTCTCATCAAACCGGATAGGGGTTGGTACCTATCAAAACTATTCATCATCAGAAGGATCGGCTACCTCTCCAAAGGAGCATCCTGCAAAACGAAGGATCGGCTACTTCTCCAAAGGAGCATCCTGCAGACCAAAGGATCGGCTACCTCACCAAAGGAGCATCCTGCACGCAGAAGGATCGGCTACCTCTCCAAAGGAGCATCCGCACACCGAAGGATCGGCTACCTCTCCAAAGGAGCATCCGCACACCAAAGGATCGGCTACCTCACAAAAGGAGCATCCTGCGCACCAGAAGGATCGGCTACCTCTCCAAAGGAGCATCCCTGCACACGAAGGATCGGCTACCTCACCAAAGGAGCATCACTGCACACAGAAGGATCGGCTACCTCACCAAAGGAGCATCCTGCACACCAAAGGATCGGCTACCTCACAAAAGGAGCATCCTACGCAGAAGGATCGGCTACCTCTCCAAAG